TTTAACCATCCAAATGATTTCTAAACGGGTTTATTAAGCTGAAAAAGTTGCCAAGTTCCCCTTTAAAGCTCCTACAAGGAACTCTCATTTAGTGTTGATTCTGGTGGCCCCTGTGGATAAAAGCGGTAGTGTTTCTACTGCCTCATTTCATTGATTTCAAGGGGAATCTCACCAACTGGCAGACATTAAGAATAACTCTATAGAAACAGCCAATCCTCTCACTGGTGGTCTTGTTTGTTTATGTAGAGGCATCAGTATTAAACTGAGACTGTTTCATAACCTGTTAAACACTCCATGTAGTACCTTTAATAAAGACAATCACTAAATGCTGCTTAAACTTAAACTTAAACAGATGATTAAAGGAAAATTGCAGTTTACTACAACTACGGTCTCATTTTCATAGTATGGCAATATGGCAACATCAGTAATAAACAGTCCGACGGAGCAGAGAAAACAAGCTGTCAGACAATCAGAAAGGTTTTAAACAAACGGCCAGGTTAGCCACAGCGTTTTTTTGTGCAATGAGGGATTATTACCAACATTTCAGATGAGCTCACTTTCTGTTTCACCTCCAAATAAAGAGGTTTATATGATCTGAAATCACAGTTGACTTGTTTATGAGCTGTGTGATCGTTTGACTGCTTGTTGCCCTGTCAGACTTTACTGTGGTGATGTGGAGTCCTGTCCAAATCTATGAAAATAAGGGCTGAGAGATGTTGTATTAAACCAGAATTATGCTTCATCCTTCTCATTAAGGACATGTTTTTGCTATAATGAGCGGTGTGGCTCACCCTCCGGCGGCAGCAGCGTGCAGGCAGGTCCTCCCCAGACTGTCAGGAGTGTCTATCTGGAAGCCTGCAGACAGGACCGAGTCGTTACACATTATGCTAAACCTCCGACCTGACGAGGGCAGCACAGGCAGACGGAGGGAGGCCAGACAACACACAGCAGCAGCCGCCACAGAGAAAGGGAGAGGGGAGGAAGAGTTGGAGAGAAAGACAGGTGTAAGTGCGACAGGTGTGGAGGGGAAACGAAGAAGGTTAGGTGAGAGTGCATGATGCTGGCCATGCATACACAGGAAAACACAAAGACGCCTGTGTTACACAGAGAGAGCTAACGACACGCCATAATGACAAAGACATATCTTGTAGAAGATATATAACAGTCAGAGACCAACAAAGGAAGGAATCTGAGAGAGAAAGTGCAGCAAGCAGTTCAGTTGGAACATGTATGTTCACCAGTTCACACATTAAGAAGTAACCCAACCGTTTTTCAGAACAGGTTCTGTTGCAGGAACATTTTCAGGAATTCAGGAACTTTAACTGCAAGAGTCGCGTGCCATGCCATTCATCAAGTCAATCAAATTTTATTTATATAGCCTAAAATCTGCCTAAAAACATTAAATGTGCTTAGATCACCATTAGCCACTCTAAGGAAGAAGGAAGTGAAAGGCAGAATGGATGAGATGGAAAGATGAAAACCCCTACTGTGCTACTTACTGCTTACTCATTGTGTCCTCTGAGTCAACATGTGTGTGTGAAATCTGGAACCAAACTATTTATTCTTAAATGATGGCTAAACACCTATTTTGAGATCACAATGACCATTGAGTCAGAAGTGTCACCGATTCAGTTTCCAGCTAACTGAAATATGGTCCCAATCTCCCCTTTGTGACATCAATTGTATCACAATCAAGTTGACCTTCAACGTTTTTGGTAAAAAATCACTTCATCGTTGTATCCCATTAAACATCTGTGTGAAATTTTGTGATAACCACATTCGTTTTTGAGTTACTTTTCAAATGCAAGATCTCAGTTTCAGTTTTGTTCTAGGGCTAAAGTTCCTGCCCAAAAAAAAACCTCCCGGCTACTGAGGCAAGACAGAAACCATTAGCATGGAGTCTGTTGCGCTGAGCACAACTGTCTGGTCAAATACAAGCCTTGAGGCTGCTACAGCATGTGTATAGCATTCATTCACATTGGAAATAGGCCCTCTTGGTCACCAAGATTAGCACTAGAGATGGGAAGCTGACTAGAGGATGCAGACCACCACAGACAGCGCTAATAACAGAGACAGAGAAAGCACCTACTGTATCTGCTAATTGTTTCAATGTGGTCACGTGCTGAATCAGGAGAATAACCAGAAAACAGTCAGCGGATCCTCCACACTTTGCAGACAAGCGCTCAGCCTGTCTGTATACAAAACATCCATTCAATCCCTCAACTTTCAGACTACACCTCGACACCCCGTGCTATGCTGTCGTCTTTTTAAAAAATTCTAAACATTTCTAATGAAACACTGAACACGCTCTTAAACCAGCTGGATGCACTTGCAAATCTGGATGGCATCTCCCTTTTGTTCCTGCAGAGGCTGAATGCAGTATTTGAATGTTCGATAAAAGGCAACCAAATGAATGTATTGTAACATCACAGTCACACAAGAGTAAATTAGAACTACACGATGACTGTGTTGTTGTCTTGTGCCGTGGCTTTTTAATCCTTTATGGTTACAATTTGCCTAATGTTCACGGTTCTTCAGACGCAATGTAAAAGGGACTTTTAGCTCCTGATTGAGCTCTGCAACAAATACAAAAGCTGACCAGACACAACACTGCAGCTGCACAGGGCTCAAGCACATGTAAATGACTTCTTTGTTGTTCACTACAGCAACTCAGCAGAGCCACATGAGGAGCCCAGTTTCATCCTGCTCCACGCCTGCAGACACAAGTGCCAGGGTCTTGTTAAATCGTCAAAAGGGATCTGGAGCCAGAGAGGATTGTTGTCTCCTCTCTGTTCCTACTTCACATTTGTTTAATATACCAGTCTCTTCTGTGTTGGAAAACCCTCTCTCAGAAACCAACAAAATATATGGGATGAGTGGAAAGAAAAATTATTTCATTGCCAAAAGCAACAAGGAAACTTTTCAGATGTAAACGAGATATTAACAACCAATGTGTGGATGCTCTAAGAGGAGAATGCAAAAGAATACACTCTTGTCCAGAGGGAGAGTGGTCCCATCAGTGAGTAATTAGACTCAGTGAGGCCTTGTCTGTTTCTGGAACATTGTGACTTGAATTTGGCCAGAGCTGAATACGTGTGCTTGTGAAGGAATTTACCACTGGGAGCAAGAAAAACAGCCGGGCTCAAACCTCCCTGAAAATTACACTTGAAGATGATGTTAAGGCAAAACAGATTTAATCAGCACATACCCTAGTGCAAATGATGAGTCAGATGGTCTCAGAAATATCAGCTAATGAGCCGAGTGGTTACAGCTCATGTCATATAACCGGTGCGTCGCAGGTTCTTTATCACTTTAACTTCACTTAAACTGGATCATACTTTATGGAAAACATAACTCGATGGTTTACGGCGTTTCTTGACAAACACTTCTGAGGCCGTTTAATAAATAGTTCACTAATAAATAGAGCAACTTCTGATCTACTAATATCATTCTTAGGCTTAAATGAACTTGTTAACTTCCTGTTAGCCCCACCCACTTCCAGTTTAAGCACTTCCCGTAGTGTAAGAAACAGCCATTCAGAGTACGGATATGAATACAGATCATTTGTGCCCTGGGTCCAGACCTTCAAATCCGCTGACTGGAAACGGAATATGACAAGTTGACATTTTTGTCTGATATAAGGCAATAATAATTTAGTTGAACAGATACAGATAATGGTGATGTGTTCATCAGGACTCATAGCAGGACTGTTGTATTAGACTGCAATAAATCGGCAACACAGATATTCTGCTAAAACACACAAGAATTGAACATCAATCAAAGGTAAGGCAGTAGAGGTCAGGAGACACAACAAACTGGATTAACAAACTAAATCTACTTTCTAATAGTTCTGGCTTCACTTTGTGTGCTACCTGAGGACAGCAGCTTCCTGCAGCAGTTAGAGTGAGCATTCAAGGCAGCCAGGTGGAGAGGGAACATGCCATGGACTCCTCGCCTTTGGAGAAAGATGTAGAGAGGAAACAATAGTCTCTTTAGTGGGCACCCTCTCATTGTAATCATTTAACATCTATCTCTCAACAGGTGAACTAACAAACCTTGTGCAGTCTGCTCCACTGGTGATGAGCGTGTTAATGAGGAGTTCATGACCATAGCGGGCAGCAATATGGAGAGGGGTGTTGCCATCTTTATCCACACTGTCGATCTCCCCACCTGAAATAAAAGGTTCATTTATAGGGAGAATATGCAACTTTAAGAGATCCCAAGACGAAACGAGCATAAGCAAGTCTCACCATTCTGAATGAGGGTCTGGGAGCGAGTGAAGCGCCCATGAACTGCTGTCATGTGAAGAGGACTCTTCCCGTCCCGGCTCTGAAGGTGGAGGAGAAATAAAACAAAGATTTCAGTTTTTATACAAAACAGATAATTAGTTTTGAGATGCTCAAGCAATAACAATAACCCTTGTTGTTGTTAATTACACAGTGCATATAACGATATATACAGTACAATACTGTAAGTCTATACATTAGCCAGGTCCTGGTGCTATAATGCTATTTATACATAGACATCAAAACCATTGGATGGATGGAGAGTTGATAAAATATCTAAATTTAATCTAGAGGTAGAAACAGAGTAAACACTGTCTAGTAACCAAACTCAAACTGTTACCTTTATAATGTCGACATGTTTAACCTTAGGATGGTAACACGCTACTGTGTATAGCAATTTAACAACTGCTATGGCATTGCACTGCAATTACATGAGATCACCAAACTTTATAAACCAATAAGAATGATGCAGGAAACAATCCCCCCATCATGGAGAGAAGCAATAATCTCTAATCTCTGGATTGTGGGAATTATCGCCCAGTTAGTATTCAAAATATTGACTACAAACTGTTCACCTCAAGAGTATCTAAAAGAATGGAACAGATATTACCAGAGCTAAATAATACATAAGGACCAGACGGGATTCATTAAACAGAGACAGACCCAAGACAACATCAGGAGGACACTTGATATAATGAGGCAAATCACACAACAAAATTGGAAACGCTTTTTATTATCTTAGACGCAGAGAAAGCCTTTGACTCTGTAAGGTGGACTTTCTTATATAAAGTACTGGCATAATTCGGCTTCCACACAACCATAATCAAGACATTTGCAGCACTGTACACCAGTCCTACAGCTAGAATATAAATTAATGGTGACCTCGCCAACCCATTTACTTTGGAAAAAGGCACGAGACAAGTGTGCTGTGCATCGTCACTCCTCTTTGCCCTGTTCATAGAACCCCTGAGCCAATATTAAGGGGGTAACAATGTCCACAGGGGAACAGAAATTTGCTTTATTTGCGGACGATATATTAATAACTCTAACGCAGCCTATACTGTAAAGGGATACATACACATATAAATAATATATTTGGCACCAAGGTCCCTTTCCAGTGGAAAACTGTAGATCTGGCTGATATGAATTCTGACGATTGGAAAACTAACGACAAAAAAATACTTTGTATACCACTGACAGCAAGCAAAAAAACAATAACAAAAAAATGGTTAAGGGCAGAACCACCCCCCATTGAGGAATGGATTGATATTGTATACGAGATATACATTATGGAAAAACTCTTTTTTTTTCTTAAAGTGCAAACAGAAAAGTTTTATCAGATCTGGACTAAATGGACGGAGTATGTAAAACCTGTCCGATTGGACTTCATATAACTGCATCTGTAATGAAGGATTACCTAACCCCTTTATTTGATGTTACTTATTTCTATAGTGCAAGCCTATTCACCAAAGTGTCAATTTATCCCCAGCTTTCACCTTTTTTGTGTATATAATGTGTGTCATTAAGATAATCAGTCAGCAAGCTCCCCAGTTCAACTCTGTTCTGTTGATTGCTAACACCAACTTAAAAATGGAAAATGGGAAAAGCAAAAGACGTAATGTTGTAGTAAATGGTATGCAACTGTATTTGTAATGTTTTGCTTTTTCAAATAAAGAGAAAATTATTAAAAATTAAAGTTGCAAGCAGCGTTGGGCGGGACCTCGCACTCCACGCAACTCGGGGCGTGCTGCAGCCGCGTCACGTGCAGGCGTAACACGTGCGGACCAAAACATGAAAATTTCACGTAAATCAGATTTTAAAAAAATGGCCGACTTCCCGTGAGGTTTGGGGTATGGGTCCAAGAGGCTTTTTTGTACGTCTCGGCACGTTACACGTGCCTACCGAGTTTCGTACATATCGGTGAAACGTGGCGCCGGGGCTGTTGT